CCCTCTGCCTCCATAAGGCGTGTTTTTATACAAATGACTGACAGTTTGATTGGCAGCTACTCACCACCACTCTGATGTGCTTTGACAGGTCTTTGGAGCTTCCCATCAGAAAATCTGAGAACGCTGTCTGCATGAGACACACACACACACACACACACACGATCAATCACTAACCACATGTTCAGCACATAAAGCAGCCGGGGGCCGACCATCTCACATCAGTGGGGACAAATGGTGTGACCTGAGGTGACGACGGGCCCCGGGGCATTTCAGGGACAGAGCTGGTGTGAGCGACATCTTTTGTCATCTCTGCACTTTTTTTTATAATACTCTGAGGTCACTTATAGAGCCTAACGCCATTACTGTAGTATTTGAGATCCCTCCTTTGCCTAGGCTCAAAGCAGACCTGACAGCCTTTGCAACATCAACACCACCTTCCCATGCTCTGTGGATCAAAGACATGTTTTAATGTACAGCTTGAAAGGCTCTTCCAGGAAGTTCAAAATGTGTGGGGGCCATTTGTTGCCTATGCAACGAGAGTGACCTTCCCAGATATTCCATAATAAGAGCAACTGTACTTACTTTGTATATTCATCTAAACAGGCTGGAAGAGCACTGCGGTGTAAAGAAGAGAGATCACACTCTAAACAGTGGATCAATCAGATTCTCTGCTGCATACACATTAATTGACTTCTTTTATTGCTGTAAAGTCAGCCAATAATTTAGCTAAACCTTGTCAGGAGAGGAAACTACTTTTCCAAAAGAGAGAAAGCAGCAAGAGAAGACTGAGGAGAACAACTCTCAAGTAGTGAAAGAAGGACATTGAGATGTAGACTTGATGCACTGTTAGATTTCTCTGAGCAGCCAGCTTATCTCCTGACAGTGATCCAGGCATGAGAAAATAAGAGCTGAACAATAAAGCAAGCGGGAAATATTTGAAATGCGTCAGAGGGATGAGCGGTCTGGTGTAATGGATTTATCACTGTGTGAATGTTTGGCTGTATCTGTTCCATCTGCAGTCTTTACCCTTTCATTTGCTCTCATTTGAAATACTGCTACTTTACCATGGTGTACTTATTTGTTTCCACTTATTAGTTTCATTCTTATTAACGTGGGCTTGCCCTTTTATTTAATATTGTACTGAATGTTCCCGGTTGTAACGCCATACATTTAAAGGATTTCTGATTTTTTATTTGAAAGGAACTACAGCAAGGTCACATGACTTCAAAAAAACATCATTTTGTTCAGCTACCTGATGTAATATTTGGGAGCCACTGGACATTTTTACAATATCAAACAAACTCGCGTATGACCCTCTTATCCGAACAGTATGAAAGAGAAACGTTCAGACTCACCCCAGCATAGAACATCTTGTTTCTGAAACGACTGTTGAACTTCTCTGGGTTGGCCTCTGAAATATTACACACAGTAATCAGAAGAATACATATTTAGCAATTGTTCCCATAATCTTATCATCACACCAATATTAAAGTGAACAGCTATTTTATAATATTTGTTAATATGAATGTACCTCTTGACTCGTGAAACTCCAGAGTCACATGGGCATCAAATCCAAGACTGAAGTAATTGTTGAAAACATCTAGAGGGAGCTGAGAGAGCGAACACACACACACACACACACACACACACACACACACACACACACACACACACACACACACACACACACGATTATTTGGCATTTTACACCTGGTTGTAACTTTTCATAAGAATAAATGGAGTTTCATTTCTGAATAAAGTCCAAGAATAAACATCACAAATCCAGGAAATAACTTAGACTCCGACACAAGGAAGATGAGTTTGACCCTAATGCTTGGAACGACGCAATCTTTTCAAAAAGGTGTGGTTGTTTGATAAATAATGAATAAAAGAAAGAATAGAATAGAAAGGCCTTGTATAATTCACAACTCAGAATGAATTGTATACCCTTCTTCAATGCTTAAAGCTTGTAACTGTTAGCTTTCATCATTTTCTGTCAGGTGGGGACTTCCAATTCAAATCAAACGAACACATTATCAGACTGTGAAACACTGTGTGATCACTCATCAAGTCATCAGCCTTTCATTTCTGCCATTAAAGGGGTAAAAGAGTGTTATTTCAAAGGATGGGATCCCTGATGCATTCGACTAAAAACATAATACCTGCCGATCTAATCTGTAGCGCTTCATTAACTCAGTCAGAAATATTGCTCCTACCTCTTTGTCTTCATGCCAGCTTCTCCTCTGATAATTGAACTCTCCTAAAATAACTTCTCAATACTTCATACAGTTTTTCTCCTTAGGAGCTAAGATGATTTACGAATACCTTACATCCTGCGATCAGTGTGTGTGTGTGTGTGTGTGTGTGCTGACCTTATCAGTCTGCTGTTCGTCGGGTTCAGCCCCTGCACTGTGGTTTGGTTCAACCTGTAGATTCCACCTGTCTAGCTGGACAACAGTCCCATCCTCCACATGGGACAGAATCTTAGACAGAGGCTCGTCTGTGTAGCCCTGGAACACATGCACACTTACATTAAACATGCACACACATATGTGTATATGAACAAGGTATGGGCTTTTTTCATTATTAAAAGCTTAAGAAGCATATGTATTTTGTATCTTTAAAGTGCCAATGAGCAGGTGTTTGTCAGTTTGTTCTCACCCCTCCCCAGTTGAGGGTCCTAGCGAGGTCATTTCCTGTCCCCAGTGGTAACACAGCAACAGGAGGCTGAGGATTTATCGCCAGTTCATCGAGACAAGAGAGGATCCAGCCCACCTGAGAACGCACACGCAGATACTGAGATCCATGCTTCTCACAAACAGGAAGTGTTCAGTGTACCCGGGGTTATTAAATCACATAGCATGAGATGTGTCTATGCTGATGATATAGCCATTGATTACTCCTTAAATCCAGAGAATAAAAGGAGATCATCTATGATACAAAATCCCTGCACCACACGCTTTGTGCGTAGATCTTAACATTTGACTTTTTTCATTTTAGTCAGTACATCAATTAACTGGTTAAGTGATGCTTCTTTGATTCAAGATATACATCCTGGATGAAGCCAATTTTGTCTTGACAGGATAGAGAAAGAATTACTATGGCGGTCTTCAAGTTAACTGCACATTCTTCTAAAAGTACCTTCCAATAAATATTCATATATTAATATTTAAGTAACCAACCACAGCATCAGTTTATTGGTCCTTTTTTATTGTTCTAGCTATCTTTTCGTTTTATTTCTGGGTTTACTCACAGTTCCATCCCCCCCACAGGCCAGGATTTGCAGGTTGTGCACTCGGCGATACAGCTCCAAACTAAGATGGACACAGGTTAATGACATCACCAGAAGATTTTAATTAATGTGCGTGTGTGTGTGTGTGTGTGTGTGTGTGTGTGTGTGTGTGTGTGTGTGTGTGTGTGTGTGTGTGTGTGTGTGTGTGTGTGTAAACGTACCCCTCCTGTGGTCCTCCCTGGCTCAGGTCAAACACCTGCCTGGGGTTCAGATACCACATGAAGGACTGCATGATCTTAGTTCCCTGTCGAACACAAAAACCCAATCAACGTTGGAAGACGAGGACTAAACTGACCCAGAATCTGCTCACAGTGCAGCGGTGAGCTAAAAGCTTGACTAACTGGATGACATGTTAACCGGTTCATAGACCAGTTCATTGAAATTGCTGGGTGTGCTGCGCGTGTTCCTACATACCTGGTTCCCTCCACTTCTGGGGTTGACAAACACCAGCAGAGGTTTCATCAGCGGTGAAGGGATGGGTCTGATTAAAAAAGGTTTCCACTGCCGTCCTTCCTGTCAGAGAAGAAGATGATCTGCTCAGATCCTCTACAGCACTGTTTCTCAAACTTTTTCATACCAAGGACAACTTAACCAATAAAAAAACACTTGCGGACCACCTAACTCTACAAATATCAAAAAACAAAAAAGCCTGCTTACCACTCCAACAGTATATAACAAATTACAGCCTAATAATGACAGCTTAACGTTCTCTATATCGCCTCGTTTACACATTAAATCAACAATACAAATACAACTACAGATTATATAAGCATTTCGTTCAAATGCGATATAAAATGCTCAGGTACACATCTTATGAAATGTAGACTACATTTATTAGGGAGTTTATGTCCGAGCCAACAGACTCACAGATCGTTGGCTACTGAGAGAGAAATGCAAAATACACCGCATAGTACGACACAAACCTCCGCTGTGGATTTTCAAAACAAATTACAGTAAAAATATGGTCGCAGGCCCAAGTTTAACTCTCTGAGGTCTAAGCCATTTTTTCACATGTTTTTGTAAAAATGCTATTAAAACATGAACCTTGGTGACCATTGGGCTGGCCTGCGTGGTCTGCCCCAACAACAGCCTCTGATTCATCAACAGACTTCATGCAATGCTTCATTGGATGCATGTATTAGATAATAATCACTATCTCACTCCTAATATCTAAATCTACTTCCAGCATGGATAAATGTTCATAAAAGACATCCATTGTTTGTTTTATACACTTCTTGAAATATATCGTTTTTCTAGAAGAGATTAGAAATCGCCTAGAAATGGTACAAACAAGTGGCAACATGTGTGACGAAGGTGTAGCGCTGGGCTATATCATGCAATCGAAAGTGAAACTTAAGCTCGCTTCATTGCGGAGATATCTCCGCGAAAGTGTGGAAAACCTTTATTTATTTATTTCAAATGTGAAATTTTACCAATATACTCTGCCCCCTAGTGGTCCGTGAGTGCCCCCTAGTGGTCTGCGGACCACACTTTGAGAAGCACTGCTGTACAGCACAACACAGTCCATTCAGCCTGTTAATCTGGGACTCTATTTAATCCACGTTATCTGGATATTTTCACAAACGTAGCCCACATCATGTCCCTTAGAACAACAGAGATCCAGATGATAGTGCAGGACTGACCTCTGCTCCTTTCTTGCTGCTTTTCCTCTTGAATGATGTTCTCTTCTTCTTTTTACTGGACTTCATAGATGACTGGAACAGGAAAGTATGATAATGACATGTCCATGTTAGAGGTGTAACAGCTCACTATTACATCATACCTGCTCGTCTGAGTCTGAAGAAAGCCCCCATGCAGAGGTATTTAGCTGCTTATACGATATACTTTTAAAACTGACTAAAAGATTATCTCTATCTTCTAAAAGGTCAAGTACAAGATTGTAATTAAATTATTCATTTGTTTTGGGAACATGCGTATATACATAACTAAAAACATTTGCAATAACACTGCACTGTATTTATACTACTATTACTTTGACTAAATCTTATTTGATGTTATATCACAACTGCCATTATCAATGTCTAACTTATCTCCCTCTGGGTCATCTCGCTGGACTCTGAACCTGCAACCAGTGGAGACATTTAAAATCAGCCAATCACAAATTTTTCTTCCAGGCTTGTCCTTATATGGCCACTTTCGGCACTAGATTAATTCAGAAAACCAAATTGTAATACAGACAAAAATCGCCTTTAAAAGGTGGGGTATGTAATTTTGGAGAAACCAGCTTGAGTGCGCTAGAATTTGAAAATACATAACCAGAAGCCGGCTAAAATGATTGGTCGTGCTTTTTACTGTACTACGGCTTCCAAAGATGAATTTTTTAATGGATTTTTTGTCTAAGCACTTCAGATATTCATTGCTATCGGGATGTTAAGAGCATTCCATGGAATATAAAAAAAAGTGTATCTCGAGCCGGTTTCTCAAACTTACCTACCCCACCTTTGATTGGGACAAATGTATTTTTGGGCTCTTCATTCAAATCCCACAAATTCAAAACTAAACACCTATTTGGAATTCTGACTGTCTGCAATAGAAACAATAAGTACACAATGGCTCAAACATGACAACCCATCTCTTGACAACTGGTATGAAACAATCTGTGAAATATGTGTTATGGAAAGACTTGCTTTTTCCACCGGGCTTCAGGAAAATCATTTGAGGAAACAGGGAAAAAGTGACAAAAATATATATTTTTTCCCATAACGGTGGATACCATTTTATTTTACTTTCAGTTTTTTAATTTTATTTCTATTTATGATTATTATTTATTACTTTTTGTTTCTAATTTTGTTTCTGTTTGTCAATTGATCAAACTTTATTGTCAATACTATGTGACAAAAGGTTGCTTTCGATTGGTCAGCTGTTGCTCCGGATTTTCCTTCTGGATTAAACTGTAAATGTAATTGTATCAAATTAAAGTGTAAATCAGTGTTACCTGGCGTCGGACGCGAATGATCCATGTGGGCGGGACTATGAGTGCAGCGTGAGCTCCTATTGGGCAAGCCTCCTCAATCTGCTGCAGCATGAAGCAGGACACCTTGTTGTGGTACTACAGAGGGACATAAAGACATATTAAAATCACTGACATCTGGAGAATAATGTAACTCAGTGCCTTTCCAAACACTCACAGCCTGTTTGCACCAGGAGCAGCTGATGGCCACGATGTCTTTACTGTGGAACGCAAACTTCTGCTGGAAGCCCTGCACACAACAACATCTGATGATCAATATGACTTCCAGCTGACAGTTCAATTATTGGTCAATAGAGAAAAATCTCACTCACTTTCCCACATTGTTTACATTTGCCTTCTTGCCTTCTCCGATGCACCCAGTGATGACGCACCATAGCGGGCTGAACACACACAAACCGTCATTTACATCAAAGAGCTACATTCAAGAGATTACCTTTTCTAACATTGAGTTGATAGAAGAAGTGCAGGAAGAAGCTTCTAGAACTCACCTCGCGGATGTTCCTCGAGCCGGATTCTCTGAAAGACGGCTTACACCTGAAATTAATCTGCAGGAGAGCAGAGGAAGAGTAGGGAGAAGAGTCGGGAGGTGTCAGTACAACAGTGATAAGTGGAGTTCCAGCTGCAAACCCACCTGGGTGCTGGGATTATTTCATATGGTTCGAGGAGAAGTATGGAGTTTCCGAACAGACGTGGACTAGAGTAGTGATCAGAGGGATTCCCAGGGATCAGGGTGGGGGGGGGTTTTGTTTTAGGAGGAAGAAGCGGTTAGGCTGAAGAGGCTGTTTGATTTGAAGAGGTGAAAATGGAGAGGAACAATATGAAGACGAGTCAGGCACCTCAGTAGAAGGGTTTTTGTGTTTTTGAAATGCACACCCACTAATGTGTACACCATTAACAGACTCACAGAATGATTCCGCAGATCAAGATCATATTGGGTACATATGTATAAAATGATGCGTAGCCTATTTCCACATATCTATTGAAACATAAAGTCATATGCTGTATAATAACAATGATGTGTGCGAGGTATACTTTGATTTCATAATTAAACATTCATTTTCTTGCCGTCTTTGCTTATAACAAGACAATTTCTCATTATATAGTTTACGATGTTTAGTTCTATCATCATCATCATTTGAAACCAGGTGATTCGGTATTTATTGGAGACAGGTGGAGTCAATCCCACCTCCACCTGTCTCCAATAAATACCGAAGTGTAAGTGTTTCCCAGAGAGGCCTCCCATCTCTGAAACCAACAGGACAGATTTTACCCGCTCAGAGGAGTGACAGAACTTTGATCAACCAGAACATGAGACGGTGAGGGAAAAGAGAAGGACCCCATTAGGATGCAAGGACAGAATGGTGTGTGTGTGTGTGTGTGTGTGTGTGTGTGTGTGTGTGTGTGTGTGTGTGTGTGTGTGTGTGTGTGTGTGTGTGTGTGTGTGTGTGTGTGTGTGTGTGTGACCCCGACTCAATTTCCCATTTAGTTTGAGGTTAGTATGATTAGAGTGAGGGTCCAGACACCACTTGTCCTGTTTCTGTCAGACTGAGGACCCACACCAAGANAAAGTTGAATAGAGAGTGCAGAATTTTCAACGAACAGTGGACCAACGGACTATTGTTTGTTCGAGATAAGACCGTGCCGTTTGCATTATTCTGTAAAGACGAGTGTGGCGGTTTTCGAAGTAATATAATCTTTCGCGTTGTCACCACGAAACCCGCCACAGTGGACTTTGCTTGCTATGCGGAGGGCAAGCCAATGAGCAGACAGGAATTCGCAGAATGAAAGGCGGACTGGCAGCACAACAACAAACTTAATTCGCCAAACCGCAGGTAAAGACCACGCTGCTGTTCGAGGCTAGCTTCAGAAAAGGGTAGCTCCACATACTAGCTACCCAGTGGGAGCCCTTCCACTGATGGGGACTTTGGTGTAAAAAAATGCCCATCCTTGCTTGTGGGCCGAGGAGGTGTGTCCGCAAGGAGAGAGGCAGTCAACGGTCGTGAGTCTCTCCGCGACTACTATGACCAAGCGAGTAGAATTAATTGGGGGATCAGCGTTTGATGAAGCATGGTGCTGAACGAGAAAGCGTCACAATTCAAGTTTTTGCTTTGGCCATGGGCATGAGAGCAATGAGGGTGCAGGACACAGCCAGAACTGCTCATTTTTATTCTTGGGGATTAGCGAAAGCTGTTGGAAGTGTCTGAGGAGCTGGCAGCTCACTAAAAAGCCTCAAAGGAACTACAACAGGAGAGGATATTTTTGTCCAGAGTGTGCAAAACAATGGAAGAGTTGGGTCTAGATGGTGTAATTTTTGCCAGCATTCACTACGGATGGCGCCACCCTAGTAATGGTTGGACAACGACGAAGGGGCTAGATACGGGGCGCATTGAACAGCGAATTCGAGTGAACGAGGTCTCACCCCCCCACTACAAGTCCACGTCTGATTCACCAGCAAGCCCTATGCTGCAAAGTTTTGAAGTGGTCGCGTCTGCATGAAGGTGGTTGTGCGGACTGTGTCAACGTACATCCGAAAAAATGGTTCTGAAACCCACAGACAGTTCCAGCCTTCCTCTCGCAGCTTGACGTCTGCCTACGAGGATGTGCTGTACTACCACGAAATCCGGGGTTAAGCCGAGGCAAAGTGTTGCGCCGTTTCTTCCGTTTTGCGACTGCTACCCGAAATCAAAACCTTCCTGCAGTCTCAAAGGTGAAACGGTACGAGAGCTGACCGAGCACAGAATGGAAATGGGACCTCGCATTTTTAACAGATGTGACTGAAATGGTTGCACCACCTTAACGGCAGCTCCAAGGCAAGGGAAGCTAATCAGTGAGCTGTATTTCCCACATCAAAGCGTTCAAGGTCAAACTAGTGCTGCTTTTGAGACAGGTCGGAAAAGCTGGACTTTACGCATTCTCCTTGCCACCAAGAGCTACTGCGCTGAGAAAACCACCTGTCCGTTCCCAGTCGAAAAGTGCAAGGATGCACTGGAAATGCTGGCAGGGGCAGTTCAGTGTGCGGTTCCGTGAGCTTCATGTCAACCGGTAAAGCAAAACGTTTGTTCCCAGAACCCCTTTGCTGCCGACATCATAAATTATTGCCAATCCCTCTCTTCAGTTTTGAACTAAGCTGAGTTGCAGAATTGTGATATCCTTAAAGATGCGTTCAAGCCTGACAGTCTCATTGAGTTCTTGCTTCGCTCCCAGAGGAAACTACCCAAACATCAAACAGCATGCAATGAAGATGTCCACAGTTTTTGGCAGCACCTACATCTGTGAGCAAACCTTTTCCCGCATGAAGCAAACCAAGAATACAACAAGGAACAGACTCACAGATAAACACTTGCATCAGACCTTGAGACTGGGCTACCACTAGACTGCAACAAGACATTGAACTTCTCATCAGCCAGAAGCAAACACACAGTTCACACTGATACGGTAAGCACACTGATTTTAACAATTACTGATTTTAATTGCTATAAATATAAAATGTGAAGGCTCTTTTTAATTTGCTACATATGTTGTAAAATTATGTCACAGAGAAAAGCAGACAGCAGCATGTCTTGCCATTTACTGAATATGGTGCTTCTTGTGTTCAATTCGTCATCCCTCCATGCCAGGGCTCCAGAAGGCACTCTGAAGTGAGGAGAGGAGATTGCTGTTGCTGACCCCATCCCAAAGACAGCACAATTCATCAACAAGTACAAATCCAGCTCACCTACAGTACATATAGGCTACTGATTTTGATTGCCATTATTCTGTATTATTGTTGTGCTTTAGTTTTGAGCCTACACTGCTCCTGTCCTTTTCACCTTGACCTAAACAAAATGTTAACTGAACATGCTCACCTGGATAGGCATAAGAGTTGGCTAGTTCTATTAGCCTACTCATGTTATTATAATTTTGTATGTTTTTATTTATTTATTTATTTTATTAGGCCTATTTATTTGACCTTTATTAAGTGCTGCACACAATTATTATTATTATTATTATTATTATTATTATTATTATTATCATCATCATCAGGCCTACCTATTATTTATAATTTTGAACTCACATTTGCCAGTGTCAATCACCTCAACTAGGCAGATGTTTCTTACCTTGACAGCTTTGATGTTATTTTTATTAGAAAACAAATAAATGGAATATCTGTGGTATCTCAAATTAAAGCAAAGTGTGAAGACTCAATTGCTACTTGTGGCTTGAAGTCACCTGAACTGACATAAGTGTACACACATGAGTACTACCCCGTCGGTTCAAAGAAAAACAGCGACAGGAGAGAATTATAAATGGTATGTACCACCGAGTCGGCGTTACAAAGTGAACAGAGTGTCGTCGCGTGCGAAGTACTGGCCTCCTCAACAAAAGTCGACCTGTTACTCTCTCTCTCTCTGACGTCCTAGTGAATAAATTATACAGCAAGACATCTTGGTCAGTTCCTGTCCTTACGTTACTTCTTCTTCCGATTGATCTTGATGTACGGTTCCCAGTATAAAATCCAAACTCGGGAAGCCCGTAGAGGCACGTGTTCGTTTGTCGCTAAAAGGACGAGTAGCTAACCTTAGCTACCTAGCCAATACGATAATCGTCCCTTCACTGATCTACGCTCCGAAACTAAGATGAATGGAGACTTGGATTCTCCACTCAAACAAGAACATATCTTTGCGTCAACAAGTCGAGTGAGACACCGTGCATATAGAAACGAGGACCCATCTACGAAATTGCTTTATGTACATAATTCAACTTTATTATTTATTCTGTTTCCCTCCCGTCGAGGTCCCCTTACACCACCCCATTATATTCCTGTATCTTTTCTTTGTCCTTGTTCTACTCTCGTCCTCTCTCTACCTCTTTTCTCTCTCTTTGTCTCTCTCTCTGAGTCTTTCCTTTTCGTGTCTTATGCTATAGTCGTTGACATCAGTGGTATACATATTGATGTAAATGTTCTATAGCTTTTCCCTCTGTAAACTTCGGATAACGTCGTAATTTGTCGATTTGTCTTGCTTGTTTATGTCTGTTTCTTTTTGTTCGGATACGTTAATTTCTGTCGTCGGGGAGTCTGTCGGACGGGAGTCTAGCTAGCATCGTATCCCGGTCCATACTGGATTCTGTTGTTTATAGGATGTGTCGGGTCTCTAGTTATAGTCAGTTCCTGTCTGTGGTAGTTGGAGGTCGGGTGTAGTTGTAGTTCTGTCTTTTTACAGACCATTTGCGATCTCTAGTTTACAGTCAGTCCTGCGTGGTAGTTGCGAGGTCGGGTTTGTCAGTTGTGGTCCTGACCGCTTTACTAAGACAGTGACGTCCCACTACATAGTTTGTAATATAGAAACACTCGAGTGTAGGGATAAGGTCCAAGATCAAGGTTCTAGATCTTCATAAGTGTGGTTCTAGACATTAGTAACTTCACATGTGTTACTGTACAACTTTATTAGAGGGAAATGAGTCTGTGACGTCTTCACGAACTTTATACTAAGATGAATCCTAAATACTTTAATTCGAGATCGAAAGCACTTTTTGACGCCGTTCTTCCATTATTTTATGTACTTAGTTTAGCCTCGCCGGATTTCAAAGACGTGGTCGCCCGACGAAGCTTATGTTTTATTAGCATCACAAGGGGTATGAATACAATCTTCTCTCTAACTAAAACGATAATTTTGTGACCTACGTACGTCTTTTCTTTCGGGAGAGAACTAACACATAAATAATTTAGTGTCTCTAACTGTGAGTTGGACTTGACATTAAAGTTTATCTTAGGATTCATGCTCTCTAGTATAAGTTGTGACTTCACAGCTTAGCATTCCTTCTACTATAAGTTGTACCAATGGTAACACGAACCTGTAGAGGTGTATTAATGTAGAATACCATTATAAGGCTAGACCTTGATATAGGACTAACGCTCACTCGTTCGTGTCTAAATTACAAACTTAATTGTAAAAAAAGGTACAGAAGTACTGTCTGTTCGAACTACAACTGTGGTCCTGTAAAGCATGAAAAATTATATTTAGACAGTAAATAATATTAAAAAGCGTAATGAGATACATACATACAAGTATATGACAGAGGAACGCTATTCTCAAGTACATTGTTACCATATGTAGTATTACATAGTAACAAACTACTAGACAGTGTCTGTAAAAGTGATGTCAAGAGTAATACGACTCATGTCCGTCGGAGTTTTTGAACTTGACTCAGATAGAAGTACGACGACCGTCCGTATCCTATGCGACGTCTGTCGTCGTGTCGAGC